CCAAGAGGCCCCAAGAGGCCCCAAGAGGCCCCCAAGAGGCCCCAAAGAGGCCCCCAAGAGGCCCCCAAGAGGCCCCAAGAGGCTCCAAGAGGCCCCCAAGAGGCCCCACGAGGAGCCCGAACGACTCACACCAGGACGAAGGGCCCGAACGACTCACACCACGAAGAGCCCGAACGACTCACACCACAAGGAGGGGCCCGAACGACTCACACCAGGACGAGGCGCCCGAACGACTCACACCACGAGGAGCCCGAACGACTCACACCACGACGAGGGCCCCGAACGACTCACACCACGAGGAGCCCGAACGAGTCACACCAGGAGGAGGAGCCCGAACGACTCACACCAGGACGAGGGGCCCGAACAACTCACACCACGAGAAGCCCGAACGACTCACACCAGGACGAAGAGCCCGAACGACTCACACCACGAAGAGCCCGAACGACTCACACCAGGAAGAAGGGCCCGAACGACTCACACCAGGACGAGAAACCCCAAACGACTCAAACCACGAGGAGCGCTTTCTCTCCCTCCTCCTCCGCCTCGTCCTTCTCCCGCTCCCCCCACAAGGAGGATGTACGAGGAGGCGGGAGGACGGAGGAACAGGGGAGATATGCGGGGCCCAGCGGACACACGCCTGAAAAACACGACTGCGGGCATGCTTCGCAAGAGTTGCTGCTGTGAGATGGGCTGGTGGGAATACGCGAAGCGTAAAGAATGTGTTCCCAGCACGAGGCCCACGCGCGTGACAACTCCTGGGGCACGTAAAAACAAAAGTGAGATACGCCCCCAACGCTGCGACAGGGCTGCGAAAGCGTCGTGTCGGCGCACCATTCACCCGCTGCCGTTTTGACATTATTCTGTGAGCAACACCTTCATGGCTACGACACTGCCATGTCGATGCACCCCTAATACACGTCCTGCTCAACACTCTACTGGGACACGTGAAAACACGAGAGATCTGGGCTCCGAGGGCCATGAAGGACTCAATCCTAGACATCCATCACGCATTTCCTGCCCCACCTACTGGGACACATGAAAATACGCGTGATCTGCGCGTGGAGCAACAAGTCACTTGGGCCTCGAGGCTCCTAAAGGACGCGACAATACCAGTGAATTGCCCGTCCATTTTGATGGGAACTTCATTTCGGCACACCTCTCAAGCACTTCGTGAACGTGGGGCGCTCAGCTGGCCCCCGAGACGGCTCCGAGCCTCAATGCGGCACACCCCTCACGCACGTCGCGCCTCATGGACCCCCAAAGGCCCTTAGCTGGCCTCCAAGACTGCCCAATGCCCCGAGGGGCGCATGCACACCCCAAAGAAACAGTGCAACGATTGGTACCCACCCTCGCCGAGGCCGTGCGCCTAAAAAAACCACTGGTTGCAGCATCCGCGCGCAGGACGTCCCCCCGGTGTGGCCCGCCGTGCCTCCTGCTCTGCGGGCTCCCCTCGGCCGGCCCCCCCTGCGGGCCCTCGCCGTGTCAGCCGTCGAGACTAGATGATGAGATACAGTCAAAACATATTAAGGACGCGTGGCAAGGACGCAAGACCCTTGGAGGCTGAAGTTGGGATTTTTTTTGGGCGGCGGCGACCAGTGAACACGGCAGACGACGGGCCACAGAGGCGAGGACGCAAGGGTATCCTAGATGAAGGCGCGCGTCCTTACTAGGCGCGTTGACTGTAATGATCACATGGAGAAAATGCAGGCATGCGTGAGGCATGCTAGAAGGCGTGCAAGACTTCCCCCTGGTGTGGCCCGCCGTGCCTCCTGCTCTGCGGGCTCAGCTCGGCTGGCCCCCCCGCCCCCCCTGCGGGCCCTGGCCCGTGTTAGCCGTCGAGACTGGATGATGAGATGATGATCACATGGAGAAAATGAAGGCATGCGTAAGGAACGATGAATAAGGAACGAGGCCCCTTTCTCCCATGAGTTACGCTGCGATTTTCCGTGGAAAACCTAGGGAAAACCCAAGGAGCGCTGTAAAACAACTAGGAACACGGAGCCCCTCCCAAACGAAAAGGGCAGGCGCCCCCAAAGTCGAATCGGCAAGTCGGATCGGCGATCGAAATGAGTCGGATCGGCGGAAATCGGCAGCCGAGTCGGGAGAAGTCGAATCGGCGGAAATCGGCAGGCTAGTGTGCCTCCAATAAGAAATCGGAGCCCAAATCGGAATCCGAAGTCGAATCGAATCGGAATCGGAAACCATCGAAATCGAATCGAATCGGAGGAATCGAAACGAGCCCTGAAAGGGTTCCTTCTTCAGGGCCCCGACTGTAGAAGGGGCCTCGCGGATTCTGCCGCCCCCCCACGCCGGAGTGGATCGATTCTCCCGAGGAGCGAGGGCCGAGCGCGCGAGAACTCCTGGGTCACGTAGAGGGCAACTGAGCTGCGCCCCCGGGGCGAGCGGCCCAAGAGCGCCCCCCAGACGGCCCAAGTGCTGCCCAAGGCGGACCAAGAGGCCCCAAGACGGGCCCAAGAGGGGCTCAAGAAGGGAACCGAGA